TATACGTGAAGGTCGCGTTAGTTAAATTGAACAATGCGAACGTAAAGTAAGAAAATCTTACTGGAAACTTGAAAAAACTCTTTCTTCCTTAGATCGTTACTTACTTATCAAGTCAATATGATTTATCATTGCCTAATCCTAAGAGGGACATGATGTTGTAAGGTTACTCAATGCTCATTATGCCATTAGAGGCTAGGGGAAGTTGGGGGAACGCCGAAGACTTTTTTTCTGACGCCCGTAGCACGCAAGGTAGACAACATAAGCTATTCTTGTTGGCGTCATTCGAGAGGCCAGTCTTTTGCCTTTCAAACATACCAGGCGCATTTGATAAATTCGCATACCGTTAAGCGCACAAACTAAAAATATCAAAGAAGTGACTTTTTCGGCGTTGCCCCGGACTGCGGGGAAAGCCGAAAATGGGAGAAATGATCTACGGGGAATGCCGACATTGATGTTTTGCCATTTTATCTCAAACTTTATCCAGAATTGATCAAAGCTGACACGCGTTTTAAGAGCTTGAGGACGCGGTGCACACTGGAAGTTATAATTGTGTGATATAATAAGAACATGCCAGGTAAATCATTCCTTATAGGTAACAGGCCGTTGTGTCGGTTGAAAGTGTAATTTGTGTGACTAAAAATACGCGTTGCTATTCTACAGCAGTAAAGTCCACGTAGCGTGCTTTTAACACGTGCGTAATCGCACGTTTTCGGCATTACCCCAGCCTGCCATACTTTCATTTGCAGGCCCATAACTTTTCAACGTGCTGTATAAATTTCAAATAGGCAGCACACTTATGCAAAGACATGCTAAAGATTACTTGACCGAATTGGCCAGACAAACGGTAGCATAATGAGTAAGAAATGCAGCTTCAAAGGCGCATGTAGTACAAGGGAAACGTACCTTGAAAACGCTCTTGGCGCCCCCTTACAGTCGAAGTATTCCGAATGACGACTCGTAACAAACATGCGATAATTGTAGTCACTTAAGCTTCAGAGCATCACTGACAGGTGGCATCCATGTCTTACGGTTTTCGAAATATCTCGAATTTCGGCTTTGCCCCAACTCCGGCATTGCCCCAACTTCCCCTATTGTCCTTTTCTTTTCGTTTTTCACCGAACTTTTTGTCGCTTTTTCACCAAGTTCTTGATCATTTGTAGGTACGGTAACCCAGTGTTGTTAACCCTTGTGCACTGTTTGGTGGTCACCATATTCAATTAAATGATTTTAGTATCCTACATGCTAATGCTAACCTAACGTCATGTTATCCCTCGCATGTGTGCAGCGTTTGCCAGCTTCTAATGTGTAGGGGGGGGGGGGTCGGTTGGACCCCCCTGCCGTTTGGCCCCTGATCGAGCTAGAGCTTCGCGGAAAAAACGAGCGTATTGCCCGTGACGAGAGGAAGCCGATGATACCCAATTTTAAGGTCCTAGGTCATTGGTTGACCTTCCAGGTCAGGTCAATGACTCAAAGTCGGGAAAATCGGACCTGTTAGAAAGTCGTCAAGTGTGGCTGGTAAGGGGTTTTTCGGGGTGCTGATCACGAATATCGTGTTAGTTTTGATCACAGATGATGTCTTTAGGCATTTTGACCAGGTCGGGTCAGGTCAGGTCAGGTCAACCAGTAGGGGTCGTGACGGGTATTCGTAGTACGTGTCAACCGCCTCTGACAGCTTCGTAACATGTTACGAAGTCACCAAAACTACTTCGTAAATGCTCAAATGGTTGCTAAATTCGAATTCAGCTCCACAAACTAGCCTAGAAACATGTAAAACTCGAAAAAGTGAACCGAGGTCACCTAAGGTCACTGACCTGACCTGACCTTCAGGTGACCTTGACACCCACCCTAATGCATGGGAGCAACATCAAATCACATGTCTGAACGTTTGAAACCACGAAAAGCTTGCAAACGCGCGGCTAATGCGAGCCGACATACGCGGAATCGCGATTCCGGCCAAACATGGCCTCGGAAAAGAGGTCACAGGTCAAAGGTCATTGGGGTCAGGGTCATGAGATCTTCAGGGTAGGTGTAAAATTGATCAATGCGAGGGTACTGAAAGTTTCGTCGCGATCGGGCGCTTTTTACGCGAGTTATTTGCGAAAAACCATGGGGGGTCCATCCGACCCCCCCTACACATGCGAGGGTTATAGGATGCTTTCATCATTTTTCACGTGATCTGGCGCATGCTACCTTTCAAGCATTAAAAACTGGCTCAAATAGATGTGGAAAATCCAAACTGTGTACAAGGGCGTATCGACACGCAAAATATATTAAAACGTCTACTTGAGTTGTCATGGTTATTGCCATGCAATTAGCGCTCTTCTGGCGTCGACCCGATCACTAACAATGAAATGTATCACAAATATTTGTAGTCCACAGGCATGTAGACTGCATTAAGCCAGAAACTTCCGCGTGCAGTACAACTGTCATAAAACGTTCACAATAGTTTGCGTGAGTAGGCATGCATCACGCGATCACGCACAGTGTAACCATTATGGTGCTCGTGGGCTTAGCGACGAGCCTCAATTTGAAGAAGAGTCTGGGAAAAGGTGTCGGCCAGTTCCAGCTTCAGGTTGTCAATCCTTTCCAGCGTGTGATCAAACAGCTGAACCAGGCCCAGGAGGCGGCTCTGTACGCTGAGGTCAGCCAGAAGGTCGCCGTTCGAGGCGAGTACGATCGTCGAAGAGGCATCACCGCCGAGGGCATCGCCGAGATGGTGTTGAACGTGGCCTACACGCTGCGTCACCACAAGTTCAACGAGTTCGACCGCCGCTACGAGCGCCAGTGGAGCGAGTCGGGGAGGCGGCCGGCGCGCAACCTGTTCCTGCGCTTCCCCCGGCCGGCGCTGACCAGCCTCCACTCCGCAGTGTCGGACCAGTGCTGGCAGAGCCTCTACCAGTGCCTCTGGTACCTCAACACCGTCACCAAGCAGACCTACACGGCGCGCCGGTTCGACCCGCTGGCGCAGCTGCAGCGCACCTTCAAGGAGCCGGCCACTGTGGCGAATGTGGCTCGGTGGCGCGCCGAGAATCGCACTCGCTTCCAGCGGCTCCTGACCTCTCACACGTGGCGCTGTGCGCAGCTGCACAAGACGCAGACCGAGCAGCCGGACCCGTTCCGCTCGCTGGTGGAGCGTTTCCGCTGGATGACCACCGCCAGCTACTTCATGTGCTGGTACACGATGCACCAGATGCCAGAGCTGGCCTACTTCGCCGAGCGCTGTGACAACTACGCCGACTGCATGCAGACTCCCGACTCCACCGAGGTGGGAAACCAGGACCCGCGAGTGCACTCCACGGACACACCGTTCGCCTGCGCGCTCTACAGCTTCTGCCCGGAGGTGTGCTGCCCACTTCGCACGGTTCGCTCGCTAGAACAGTGTACAAACTCGCCGCTGAACCCCTGCATGCCCGACAACCGCCCCGGAGAGCGCGACTGCAAGTTCGACGCCGCCGCCAACCGGCATTTCGACGCGCTCATCACAAACTACCTGAACGTGTCGTGTCGATGTCCGCGCGGACACCGCTTCAGTGCCTACTTCCGTCGCTGTGTCGATATCGACGAGTGTTACGAGGGCGCCGACGACTGCGATCGCACCTCAGAGGCCTGTCTGAACTTGCGCGGCGCCTTCGACTGCGTCTGCCGCTACGGCTTCTACTGGAACGCCAGCGAGACCGCCTGCAAGCCGAGCGGCCAGGTGCGTCTGCGCGCCGAGACGGCTCTGGTGCAGCTGCGGCGGTCAGCGCAGAACAAGTCACTCTCGGAGCGACTGCGACAGATCGAGGTCGACCTGCGCCGGCAGCAGCTGCGGCAGTATCTCGAGTGGCTGCCGTTCGACACCTCCCGAGTGCCATCGCTCGGTGATGTCTCTGAGAAGTTCGGCAAGTTCAGGAAGAGGGTGTCAGAGTTTCGCGAGCTGGTTGGAATGGGGATGAGCGCCGCCTGGCGTCTCAGAAGTGATGCTGTGGTGTGCGGTGTGATGGCCGCTTGTGTCGCTTTCCTGGCGAGTTGAGCAGTGAGCACTGAGCAGTGAGTAACGTTCCATAGTTCACTGCTCGAAAGGCGAACAAGACGCGGCCAATGTGTAAAATAGCCGTTGGGCTTTACCATGTTCCTTTGATTTGTCATGCTGACGCTCACAGTGTGCAGGCAATACGAAACTTTTTTACACTGCAGGATGTGAATGCGAGTGTTTAAAGCTGTATGTGCATGAATCAAAACATCTAAAAGGATGCGCAATTGAGCAAATTCCATCCGAAAAGCGTATTACATGCAAATATGTGCTGACAAGCAGCTTTACTAATTTTGTTTACATATACCCACGTTCTGCCGCTGTTGTGCATTCAATGATTTAGCAATGCTCTACAAAACGTCCCAGCCAGTACACCCAAGTGGGTCCCATATCGGACCCATATGGGACCCACTTGGGTGTGCTGTCTGGGGTTTTTCGTCCCTTTTGGGTGCGACTAATGAATCATGTTATCATCGAGATTCGAGCTGCGTCTTTACCTATAGCTTGTCACCAACCAGATGTGGAGAATGTTGCTGACACCTAAACAGATATGAAGCATATGCAGCTAAGAATGGATGGCCGTTCTAACTACTAATGCAAATTTACTTCACCTCTATTGCTCATTACATCAGAACATATGCATTGATGTGGCTAACTCAGGTTGCTCCGATTGCATGAACCAGGAGGTAACTATTCATAAGCAATCGTGCTCTTGGTCAGCGGATTTACAGCTGATGCCACCGCTCCTTAGCTGTAACGTTAACCGACATGGGATACAGGATAGTAGGCATGGTTTATCCAAGAGAACGTACAATGAAAAGTACGGATAGGGTAACTGGTATCAAAATAATAAATTATGAAGACGATAACTGGGTCCCGACCCCACATACAGCGTGGCAGACCAGCCGACGGATCGTTAGGATTGATGCCTTCTACGCGGCACATTGCCTTTGATGTTCGCGACTTCTAAGGCAGCCGAAATTGACTGCGGATTAGCTAATCGCCTGTAACGATCCCGGTCGTAGTACATTTATATGAGCTTGCGCAACTTGTGACGTGTAGTGATGGATAGGACATTTATATTTCTGGCACATGAGTAACGAATTATCGAAGGAATTTTATATTTATGTAAATTGAATAACATCATTGAATTACACACAAAGTAGGGGAAGCGGGGGGAGCACCGCCACCTTAAGCATTTCTGCTCACCGAGCTGATATGCGTAGTAAAAACGAAGCTCTTTTGCATTCATGTGAAAGTAGGAATGTTTTCCTACATGTTGGCATAGTTTCCAGCGCTCCATTATAAAATTTCGCTACTTTACAGACATTGAAAACAAGTCCTGCATTTTCCGTCCTCCAAAAAATGTGCGGGTAGCACCGCCACTGATGGCGATGTTATCCACAGATCGGCCTTACGGTGACAGCCACCCTTGGAAGCGTTACTGCTGTCTGAAATAGTAACTCAAACTCATATAAGACACACAAGAGTTGGTTGTTAGTTTGTCACAGATCAGACTGTTAGTTGCGGACAATATGCATACAAAGCATGACAAATTCACGTTTATTTCGAAACATCCAGTGAAGTCAAACGTGAGGTTAAAAAACAGACGACGTTTGCGGCCTAACTAAAGCTCTTCTCCGAGCTGAGTGAATCATCATTGCGGCTTTATCCATTTTGCCACCCCATGGGGTAGCACCGCCGAGCATGGCGGTGTTACCCCACACACAGTCATGGACCGACAACGCCCCGACAGCAAAACAAAGCGGGACGCGATTCTTCTGTAATTCCTTTCTCAACGAAGAGCACTTCATGCCCTCAAATTTAACGTAAAAATCAAGGCATTTTGACTTGAAATGACCACTTACTTGCTGCTAAAACATGCCAAATTATTACAACGATGGTTTGAAATTCACAAAATGGGCAATTGCGATCTCAAAATCAAATAAATCTTAGCGAAACCTACCTCACGCGGCGTCCCGTTTCCGTTCGGACACCGAAATGGCGGGTGTTTGCATTTACAATTGAGAGTTTTGCCGATAGAGAGGATGGCGGTGTTTCCCACATGGCGGTGCTACCCCCGCTTCCCCTACAGTAAAGCAGTTTACTCACACAAAGTGAGTAAAGCAGGTGTTAGGTGACAAAGCTTGGACGATCTAGCATGTCAAATTGTTATTTCTAACAGATTTGTGTCAGATTTAGGCTACTATTAATGGCTTACGCTAGCTTAGTAGGGATTAATATTGTGGCGGTCACACTTCGGCCTCCCCTCACTGTGCGCGCGCGACCGCCCCTGCGCGTGACCGAACGATCATCCGACCGCCAGCTGACCTTGCCCCGGGGCACTGGGGGTCACAACCCCGTCCCGCTCCGCGCGGGCCAGCGCCGCACGGAGGCGGCAGTTATCGACGAGTGCTCGGTGAGTGAACGCAACACGTGGTGGCAGCGGAAAACTGCAACGGAGCCATGGCTATGGCGAAGAATTACCGTTTACCGGAATTTGACGGCAGTGGTAATGTAAAAACGTGGATCAGCAAGATAGAAGTGATTGCCCGTGCTTGCAACTGGGACAGTTCAAAACCGGAACAGAAGACCTCCAGCGATTTCAGTGACGAAACTACGGCGGTGATGGCGCTCCCGGCGATCACCGGTCGGGTATTCGACTTCGCGATGCGCCTCTCCGACGGCGACAGGAACAGCTGGAAGAAACTGTGCGAGAAGTTGAATGCCGAGTTCGACTCTCCCGGACTCGCTGTTCAGTACGCGCTGGAGTTTCATCAGCGTATTCGCAGGCCCGGCGAATCACTGGCGACGTTCCTGTACGATCTGGAAACGTTGTGTGCTCGCGCCTACCCCGAGTGGGAGGACGCCACATACCGCCAGCGGCTGGTGAAGGATCGGTTTCTGATGGGCATCGGAGAAAAGTCGAGGAAACACATACTTTCGTTCTACCAACCAACGTGGTCGACAGAGACGGTTCTCCTGGAGGCGAGAAAGCTGGAGCAGATCGAGACGTCAACGGGAGGCGGCGCATCTGTGGGGGCCGTCCACGGTGCCCCGAGAGGAGAACAGTCGGACGCGTGGAGTACCGGCTCTCAACCTCAGCCCAGCGAGACTTCGGTGCTGTCGGCGCTGTCCGACAAGATCCAGATGCTGGAGGAGCAGATGCAGGCATGTCGCGTATTCCGTCCCAGCCGCGACTACAACCGCTCGTCCCGTTCGTCCAACAGGCGCCGAACACCGAGCCGTCGGAGGGAGGAGGGCTGCTTCAACTGCGGTGAACTCTCCCACTGGCGCTCTGACTGTCCGTACCAACGCCCAGCAGACCGGCGGTCGGGAAACGGGAACGGACCGAGGAGGATGTGAGCCGCCGCTCCTCGGTCCCCGCTGTAGTAGCCTCTTCTAGGGTGGCTCGGACGACTCCGCTGATCCGGGGCACCATCGACGGCGTCCGCGTCACGTGGCTTGCTGACACTGGCAGTGACGTCACGTTCGTCACCAGCAGCTGCCCGGCGGTAGGGTGCAAAACGTTCCGACCCCTCGTGCACCCTGCATCGGCACCGGTGACTATTGATGGCACGCCGTTGAAGGTGAGGGGGACTGTTGATGCAACCGTCGAGTGTGGTCACCTGCCGCCGCGGCGTCACACGGTACTGATTGTTGACAGTGTGAACACCGAATGCGTCCTCGGCAATGACTTCTTGTCCCTGTATGGCGAGGTGGCGCTCGACTTCGTGCACATGACTATGCGACTGACGGAGAACTCTACGGCCGACAGGCGTGTGACCGGCGGACGCAGCCTCGGCGAGAGGGCGGTGGTACCCGGCGGCCCAGCTGCAGTTGTGGCTATGGAGAGCCGCGACGCTGGCGGCCCAGCCGCGGCCGGTGCACCGGCTACCGACGGACACCTAGTCGAGCTCACCGCGGACGTCACCATCCCCGCGGCGTCTGAGGTTCTGCTGGCGGGCAGAGTGCGGGCCGACACTGCATGTGCACCCGGGCAGCACATCACCTTGGTCGAGGACAGCAAGTTCACACGACGCTACGGGAACAGCCTCTGCGTCTCGAGCTCTGTGGACGTCATCAGGACAGACAGCGCTGTTCAGTTGCGGCTGTGTAACCCGGGTCGAAGTGCAGTGAAGTTGTACAAGTCGTGCACTGTCGCCCGATGTGTCGGCTACGCGGATCCGCCGACAGTGCGTGCCTCGCCGCTGAGCGATCTCAACCGGGAGGAAAGGGAGGCAAGAGAGCGACAGCTGGAAGACATGGTCCGCAGCAAGGTCGCCGAGTCGGATGTGACGGACGAGCAGCGCCGTGCCCTGGCGGCGGTCCTGCTGCGACGCAACGGCGCGTTCTCCGTACGGGGAGAGGTCGGTATGTGCGACCTGGTAAAGCACCGCATACGTCTGAAAGACCAGCATCAGCTGCCCATCCGGATACCCCCGCGCAGAACCGACTGGGAGACCCGACGGAAGACTGAAGAGTTCTGTGAGGACCTAATGCGGAAAGGACTCATCCGCAGAAGCCACAGCCCGTGGAGCGCGCCCGTCGTCATGTGCAAGAAGAAGGACGGTAGCAGTCGGCTCACCATCGACTACCGAGGCCTCAACAAAGTGACCGAGTTCGACGCACACCCGCTGGTCCGGATCGACGACGCCCTGGACTGTCTGCAGAACAACAGCTTCTTCACCACACTGGACCTGGCCAGCGGATACTGGCAGTTCAAGATGGACGAGCGTGACATCGAGAAGACAGCGTTCTCGACCCACAGCGGCCATTACGAGTGGCTGAGGATGCCCATGGGGCAGAAGAACTCAGGCGCAACGCTGCAGATGGCGCTCCAGATGCTTCTGGCGGACTCGAACTGGCTATACACCCTGTCGTACGTGGACGATGTCATCCTATGGTCGAAGGACTTCGACAGCACCTGAAGCGACTGGACGACATCCTGGGGAGATTCGCGGACGCCAATCTGCTCTTGAAGCTGGGGAAGTGTAGTTTCGCCAAGAAGGAGGTACGCTACCTGGGGTACCTCGTGACCCAGGACGGCATCCGCCCTGATCCAGACAAGCTCAAGGCCCTAAGCGACTACCCGACGCCAGCATCGCACGAGGAGCTTCAGAGGTTCATCGGTCTGACATCCTACTATCGGCGCTTCTGTCCCAAGTACGCCGACATGGCCAAGCCGCTGCTGAGACTGTTGGAGAGGAAGGCAGACCGTACTTTCAAGAACGGCTTCAGATGGACTACAGAGTGTGACAGTGCGTTCCAACAACTGAGAGGCGTTCTGGTGACTGCGCCAGTCCTGGCGTATCCCAAGATGGACAGCGACTTCGAGCTGACGACTGATGCCTCCGATGTTGGGATCTCCGCGATCCTGTCTCAGAATGGCCGGCCCGTCGCGTTTGCCAGCCGAGTGTTGGCAAAGGCCGAGCGTAACTACTCGACCACGGAGAAGGAGTGTCTTGGACTGGTCTGGGCCGTGGAACACTTCAGGGTCTACATCTACGGGAGGCGTTGCGTGCTCAGAACGGATCACAACCCACTG